GTACGACGAAAATCGGTTGCAGTGTGAATCCAGCAAAAGAAATTTTAGCTCCTTTTGTTTCGATTGGTCAAATCTGAATTTTTCAATCTTCAATCTCAATCTTCAATGCATAGTCTGATTCCGGCCTTAGGGATATGGATTTTATGCCCGTATTCGAAGTCAGACTTTGTATTTGAGACTTCCTTAAATTTATCTTTAGATATTCAATAGCCAATGAAATAATTCGCAGAGCATCTGAAGATAAATTTAAGGAAGCCTTAAATATAAGGCCATGGCCCCTATTCTTGAAAAATACGAAAAACCAGAGAAATGCTATAGTATATGTAACGCATACTATAGTATTTCCCTAGTTTTTCGTATGCGATACTTTTCAAGAATAGGGGCCCAAGGTATCAGTCATGAAATTTTTTCCTTGGGATGAAAAATGAAAAGTGAAAAATTTTTCCATTAACTTCAATGGTAAAAATTTTCATTTTTCACTTTTCATCTTAGGGATAAAGTTTCATGATGGATACCTTGACTATGGGCGGTATTCATAATCCGTTCTTATTTCAATATCGTATTAAGTAATGTCTTAAGATGAACTGTACTTAAGACGGTCTTTAATATAAGAATCGACTATGAATACCGCCCTATGAATACGGGCCTTGCATCTACCAATCCTTTTCCCCTGTTTATCTCACGTTTGCCACCCTCGATATCCTGACATTCCGGCGGCATATTCAAAATTTCGATAATCGCCTTAGGCCCGATTGCATCAACATTACTTTGATTTTAAGCGAGGATTAAATAAAACTTTCTTTGTTTCTGTCTCTTTTTCGGTTTTAAAACGAGATAGAGAAAGAGTTTTAAGTCTCGCTTAAAGTCAAAGTAACGTTGGTGCAACCGATTTAAGAATCTTTCTACTAATTCTCTTTCGATTTAGTTTTCGTTTAGTTTTTGACTTATCGCATATATATCACTGATTATAGATTAGCACTATTTCGTTAATAACTGCAGACATTCGTATATAAGAGATCATTGGCTTGAAATAGAATAAAAAGATATTGAGAAACGAAACAAAGCATTCACGAAGTAAGTGCAGATCCCGTGAAGCGATATGTGCTCCGACCTACGTAGCTGGCCGGTTTTCGGTTCACTGGAGCCGGAATTCATTTCCCAGATTCATATGGTTATGGTATTTGGTAATTTGCTTTGTTCTCTTCTTTTTTATATATTATTCTCTCGACAGTATTACTTATCTAATGTCTCAAAACAGGTAAAACATTTGGTAATAAGGCTTTAATTGTGACGAAGGACAAGACAGTATACATCCTGGATGAAAATCTCCATGATTGTTTGGAAACTGGATATGAAACCTCTGGGCCATATCTGAAGGAGATTGAGGACTTGTGTGGAAAAGATATAAAGACGTTCGCGTATGGCATGGGACCTCACATTTTAGCACTCACGAATGGAGGAGAGGTAAAAAGTTGTTAGGAAATTATACATTGGAGTTTAATTTTTAATTGATGTCTTTGTAACATATCTTACTGGAATATATGTATGTAATTCTGATTCATTTCTTTTGAACTAATATATAATTTTCATTAAATACGAATTTGTTAATTATTAAGTTTCATTCTGGTAATCTTGTAAAATAGTTGAAGATAAAATGTTAATATCTTTCATAGCAAAAGATTCATCAAAATGTAGCGACATATAAATGTCTGCTTTATCATAGGTGATATCACTATGACATCATAATAACATATACAAATTAAAATAACAATTAAAGTAACAATGTGATGTCACTGTGATCTTTTGATAATCTTATATAATCTATCTACAGAGAGAACAACCACGCGTCCCTAATGAAAAAGTTTTGCTGAAATTATTTCACGTTTTGGAACATTTCAGCGAAATTGTTGAAAATTTGCTGAAACTTCACTGAAAGTGAATTTTTCAGCTAACATACTGAAAAACCACTGAAATCCAACCGCAATTTCTCTGAAATTCGTGCTGAAATTTGTCTGAAAATTTTGCTGAAATTTTGTCGAAAATGAATTTTTCAGTTAAAAATCGCTGAAATTAAACTGAAATTTTGTTGAAAAGTGTTCCAAAACGTGGAATAATTTCAGCAACATTTTCCACCAGGGGTCTGAAGAATTTTCGTCTGCTTTGTGCAGACACCATTCATTTTATCTCTTCCACATCACTAATAGAAGCAGGCACGAGCTCATGAAAGGTGCTTTGTGTTCGAGTTCCCCACACCACAGTCCACGCGATCACAACCCAGGTAGCAAGGCAACATTTTAATGACGTCTTATTGACGTTAAAGACTTTATTAAAACGTTATTAAAACGTCAATTGATGTCACTTTGCTACTTGGGAAGCTGAGCGAAATGTGGTTGTTCTCTCCGTGGACTACCATGGACAGACTATAGAGTATATAGTGATGTCACAACTTGTTTGTGAGCCTATTGTGAAGTTTTTTTGCAATGGGGAAAGAGATGCTTATGTACAAAAAAATTGATATTTGAATTTCTCCACTTTATCATTTTTTATTTATACATCCAGCAATTTAAAAAAATTAATCAAAAGTTTTATCAAATTGCTTAATTAAGCGATGCATCTGAGATGTTAGAATCAATGATAGCAATGTTTATGAAAGGTATATTCCTGTGATGACGTTAATGGTCAATCGGAGAATGGGACATGTAATAAGGTTCTCGCATTTACTTTAATGAACGTGCCTACTATTGAAGACAGCCAGAACGTGAAGCATGTTGTGGACATCGCGTGTGGCTATTACCATTCCACTATTCTAACCGAGAATGGCGAAGTAAGTAAACATCATTGTATGATGATGATAATCCTCTTGTTATTTTAAAAGCTAAATAGCTGGTTTGATTAAGGTGTATGCTTGGGCATCAAATAATAATAGCCAAGTGGGTAATAGTACCAATTTTCTTTCGACAACACCTAAGCTTGTTTTGTCTAATGTTGTTTGTATCTCCTGCGGTGATAACTTCACCATGGCTGTTACCAGAAATGGCAAAGTATATGGTTGGGGTAGTAACGACTTTGGTCAGCTAGGGATAGACAACTATGGGAGTAAAAATGCGACGTCGCCAAATCTTAGTATGACAAACAATATTTGTGGCAGTATACTCATTATTCAGATGGGGCCAGCCGGGGGCAGTTTCGAGAATAAAAATATAACGCCGCAGTTGATTGGTATGCCGGAAGATCTTGTTGTAGGTAATTTTCGTTTCAATAAAGCAGTAAATGAAGAAGCAAAACAGGATCATTGAGCAGTATTGTTTCAGTCAAGGTAACTTGCGGATTAAATCACACGCTGGTGCTTACAGACAAAGGTAACATCTACGCCTGGGGCGCGAATAATTTCGGCCAGTTAGGAATTGGTAACAAGGAACTGGGATCCAGCAAACCAGTAATGGTAAACCTATTATATTTACGTTATCTTGAAGGAAATAGAATAGAAAAAAAGAAAGAAAAAGCAAATGTAGTCATGATAAGTAATTATATCATCAGGCCAAGCAAATGGAAAAGACGAGATGGATCGACATTGCAGCTCTAAACAACAGTAGCATCGCTGTCAATGAAGCAGGACGTGTCTACGTTTGGGGTGATTGCCGCGGTAAGAGTATCTTGACTCCAACCGGCACTTCATCCTTCAACGTGCACGACGCGCTTGCACACTATGGGCCGAGCATTATGCACAAACCGTTGATTCTGGACGAAGAGCTAGACATATTGGGATGCTTGGGAATTGCATTTGATGATTCTGTATGTGTCTTTGTTCCATATCTTTGTTTCGAATTATCGAAATGTACAATGAAACAAACGTACGATATTGAGAAGGAAAAATTGCAACTGAAATAGCTCTAGATCTATTGTTTTTAGTTGAACTTTTTGGACAGTTCCATTTTCCTTTTTTATCTTCATAGAAGAAAAAGAAGAGAAGAGATGGACGTCAATGCAAGAAGTTAATAAGTTTTCAATTACTAATACGTATATCCGTAATTGTGCATACATAATTATTATCAATACATGTGTACCATACAGACAGTAGTTTACTGACAGATTGGCAGCAAATTTGATCAGATTCCTATTGCAGATCCATATTTATCTATGTCCGTATTAGGATTCAATATCTACCGATGGAACTATATAGTATATTTACTGATATATTATGCCAGTAGATTAGTAACAGAAACCGAATAAGATCTGCGTACATCGGCCATCTGACGACAACGGAAATCAAACAGGAGCTGCAAAAGTTCTTGCTCGGTTCCTGCCAATATACTGGCAAAGTCGTGTCAGCAAATTTTGTCCTATTTCTGGCGGCAATTTACCGACATCTTCAGATATTATAAATTTTGTATAAATTTTGATTAATTTTTCTGCTATTAAAATTGGTAGCATATGTCCATATTGGGTAAGACCCGTTTGACCACGTTGCGATTGTCCACCAGCCACTCACAGCGCTTGTACAACAGAAAAACTCTAGACACCGGCCGCTATGAGTGGCTGGTGGTCAATCGAAACGTGGTCAAATGGGTCCCACCCGTCCATATTCATAGTGAGATCTTATATTTAAGGCTTCTTTAAATTTATCTTTAGATGCTCAATAACCAATAAAATAATTCGTAAAGCATCTAAAGATAAATTTAAGGAAGCCTTAAATATATAGCCTGACTAGGAATGCAGGCATTATTCTCCTTAAAATCTGTCTCTTTGTGTTTGGCTATCTGTATAGTAATATTTCCAGTTATTATAATGGTTAAGATTTAGGTATTATTTTTTATTAATAATCTTATTTAAACTATTTAAAGCATAATGTTACTAGCTTGAGTTTTTCAAAATTTCTAGAAACTTCTTTCTAGATAAAAAAAAATACTGAAACAGGAAGTGAGTTCTTTAATTGGTAGATGTGTAATAGAATTTATTCTAGAATTTAGTTCAGGGTATCTATCATGGAAAAAGTCAGAATGGATTCCGATCGGAATTATTCAATTATTCCCTAGATTTCTATTGTGTTTTCTAGGGAAATGATCAGGGGGTCTATTCTTGAAAAGAAACGTATATGAAAGTCTAGGGAAATACTACAGTATACGTTACGTATACTATAATATTTTCCTAGTTTTTCGTATACGTTTCTTTTCAAAAATAGACCCCCAGAACGGAATATTAACAGAAAAGAAATAGGATGAGGATATCTCTTTTCTATCAATATTCTGTTCTGATTTCGTTCCGCTGTTTCTTTCTCCATGGGGACTCAGCCTCATAGGTACCCAGATAAATTCCAGACAGCACATAATATTTATAAAATATTTACAAAATGTTTATAAATATTTGTAAGATTTATTTTAAATATTTT